GACTGGCTCAGTCAGTACAGCATGCCACTCCTGATCTTGGGGTCATGAGGTCAAGCCCCACACTGGGCATAGAGCTCACTTTTAAAAAAAAGAAAAGGCTCCTTATGACCTGGCCCTCGCTGGCCACTTAGAGTCCACTTGCTAAGTTCTCCGTGCTCACTGTACCCCAGGCACACAGGCCTCGATTTTTCAGCTTGAAGCTCATTCCCTCCCCAGGGCCTTTGCACCTGCTGACCCTCTGCCTATAGCACCTTCTTCCCTGTCTTTCTATGGCTGGCCTCAGCTCAAATGTCACATCTTCAGAAAAGCCGCCCCCAGCCAGCCACCCCATCTGTCTGATCTCTCCATCTCATTGACCTATTTTAGTTTCTTTTTAGTACTTATAACTATCTGAAAATATTTATGTTTGCTGGTTTATTATTTATCTCCCCCACAAGAATGTAAAGCACAGGAGAGCAGGATCGTTTCTGTTTTGTTTACTCTTCCGTCTTTAGCATCTAGAATAATGGCTGGTATGTAGCAGGTACTCAGCAAATATTTGGTATTTTAATTAGCTCATGGTTGAAGTGGTAGTTTTCAGGCTTACCATTTTTGGAGAATTACCTTAGGTTCCAAGAGATTCTGGGGTGGTGATTTGAATTTTTCCATAACTTCGGTTCCTTTTCTTGAACCAAAGCAGTTTAATATTAATTATGTAATAGGGTTGTTCTGTCCTGCCGATGTTGAAGTGGAAGTTGACTCAGTAAGGAAAACTTGTGTAGTTGCCTGCTTCTTTGCAGATTAAGACCAACCACTGGTGTCGAGTCTTTCAATCAAACTCTGTTTCTTTTTCCTTTGTTAGTTCTTTCTTATTTCAATTACAATTCTTCCATTACATTTTTCCATCTTCTCTTGGGAATTTCATTCAAAGAGACTAGGTAATACTCCCGAATGGATATTTATATAACTAATTTTTCATCTAACATGGCTAAATTATTTTTTCGAACCTGAGAGGTACAGCCATAGGAGGACAGGGATGGTGACAGGGAGAAAGAAAATCATTAGCAGCAATCCCATGTACCAACACCATCGTGTTCTTCTCCTCTCATGATGAATGGGGATCTCTCCTGAACCGTTTCCAACTTAATCCTGGTTCTTGCCCACACGTAATGTCAAGAGGGCTCTCCAAAATCCTTTTGAAAGCCAACAGGTTGTAGGATCTGCAACTAGCAGGTACACAGGAATGTGTGATCTATTCTTCTGCCTCCAGGAAGGACCACCCAGAACCCAATTTATATAAATTAATAGTTGCCTATACTTTATAGCATCTAGGAAAGTACTTCCAGTAGCTGAGAATACACTCTAGTTCTCTGATTTCCTTTGAGAGGGAGTCCTAATTTTCTAACTGGATTTTTTTTTCCTGTTCTTCAGATCCCGGAGGAAGCCGACCCCCAATTTTGCCACCAGGAGGAAGAGCCACATCTGCCAAGCCTTTCTCTCCCCCAAGTGGCCCAGGGAGGTTTCCTGTGCCTTCTCCAGGCCACAGAAGTGGTCCCCCAGAGCCTCAGAGGAACCGAATGCCTCCCCCGAGGCCCGACGTGGGCTCAAAGCCTGATAGCGTTCCCCCTCCAGTGCCTAATACGCCGAGACCCATTCAATCAAATCTGCACAACCGGGGGTCCCCACCAGTGCCTGGGGTCCCCAGGCAGCCCAGCCCTGGGCCGACCCCTCCCCCCTTTCCTGGAAACCGAGGTGCTGCTTTTGGAGGAGGCTCCGTCCGCCAGACGCCCTCCAGCTCTTCCTCGCCCTTCTCCAACAGGCCTCCCCTGCCCCCAACCCCCAGCAGGGCCTTGGATGACAAACCGCCCCCTCCGCCTCCTCCAGTGGGCAGCAGGCCCTCCATCCACAGGGAAGCGGTCCCACTGCCTCCCCCTCAGAACAGCAAGCCCCCAGTGCCTTCTACCCCGAGGCCTTCCTCCTCACAGCCACCTCCACCACCACCACCAAGCAGGCCCGGCCCTCCCCCGCTGCCTCCGGGTTCCAGTGGCACTGATGAAACCCCAAGACTCCCACAGAGGAATTTGTCCCTTACTTCGTCTACAACCCCCTTAACTTCACCAGGACGAACAGGCCCTCTTCCTCCCCCGCCCAGTGAGAGACCCCCTCCTCCGGTGAGGGACCCACCAGGCAGATCAGGTATGTCACCACCCGGTATGATTTGTCTTCCTACAGCCCAGCCTGCCTGAGTGTCACTAATCATCATATAAGTGAAGGGAGTCCAACACAAGCTTAAGTGAACTCTCAGACTGCTTTAATCTTTTAAGTGACACCGTGTTTGACTTCATCCTGACCTCATGTGAGCCTCTGAGGAAAGTGGGATTGCTATTTCTGTCTGCGTTTTAAAGATGAGGAGACTGAGTAACTTCTTTTCTTTTTTTTTAAGATTTTATTTATTTATTGGAGAGAGAGTATGAGCAAGCCAGGTGAGGAGGAGCAGAGGGAGAGGGAGAAGCAGGCTCCCCAATGAGCAGGGAGCCCAATGTGGGACTTGATCCCAGGACCCCGGAATCATGACCTGAGCCGAAGGAAGATGTTTAACCCACTGAGCTACCCAGGTGCCCCGAGACTGAGTAACTTATAAAGTCAAATGATCACCAGCTAGTTAATAAGAAGAGGCTAGAACTTTCACCTCCCATTCTGAAATGTGCTCACCACTCTACTGCCCTGCCTTCCCTAACGTGAATTTCACCTGCCTTAATTGGGGAACTAAATTCCCATCTCCCACAAAAGCGAGCCATTATTCCAACAAGAAGGTAGCTATTTAAGAGCTAATGAACTTTTCCTGTACTGCTCTTCATCTGTCAAGCTTTGATTCCCTGCTCATTAAAGACAAGTATTAGAGGGCGCCTGGGTGGCTCAGTCGGTTAAGCGACTGCCTTCGGCTCAGGTCATGATCCTGGAGTCCCGGGACCGAGTCCCACATCGGGCTCCCTGCTCAGCAGGGAGTCTACTTCTCCCTCTGACCTTCTTCCCTCTCATGCTCTCTCTCTACCATTCTCTCTCTCTCTCTCAATTAAAAAAAAAAAAAAGACAAGTGTTAGAGTCCATTTTGCTGTTAACATCTTTGGCACATAGATCCCTTGGAGAATCAGGTAAAGGTAGAGGCCTTTTGTTCATAAAAATGCTCATAAACATAAACTCAAAATCTGCATGCTATTTCAGGGATTGAAGGCCCTTCTGAAGCTATCTGTGCCCCACCCCCTAGGTTGAGAAAGATGGATCTAAGGGAAGAACTTTGAGACTTTATGAAATGAAGTAAGGATTTCCTAGAGCTTGTACTCTCTCCTAATTATAATAGGTGCTTTTTATTTCACCGTGGTTATTGATGGGTTCAGTAGAACCATCTACGTTCTTAATTTAACCTTATTATTATATACAAGATGCCTGGAAATGGGGCACTTTTTTCTTTAGGAGAAGCTAACCTTTTGCCCTGTGACCTCAAGAACCTAATAAACAGCATTTTTTTTTTTTTTAAGATTTTATTTATTTGCCAGAGAGAAAGAACACAAGCAGGGGGAGTGGCAGAGGGAGAAGCAGGCTCCTTGCTGAGCAGGGACCCTGACATGGGGCTCAATCCCAGGACCCCGGGATCATGACCGGAGGTGAAGGCAGATGCTTAACCGACTGAGCCACCCAGGCACCCCTAAACACCACTGTTTAAACCAATAGTCCTCAAAGGTGACCATGGGCTAGAATCACCTGGAGAGCTTTAAAAACCGTGGTGCCTGGGTCCCTTCCCCAGGGTGTCTGGTTTCATTGCTCTGGGTTACAGACTGGGCATCAAGTTATCTGGAGGCTCCCCAGTGATTATAATGTGCTGCAAAGTTTGAGAACCACTACTTCAAACCACTCTGCCTCAGACAGTAGGCTACAAATATAAAAAGCTAGTACTAGTCCCTTCAATCCAATCCCTACACATCATGGCATCTCATCAAGTAGTCTTCAAAGAACAAACAAGAACAGATAGATGAATGAAATGCAGTGTTTTCTTCTTATCCAACAGCTATGGGTTTTCCCCCAAAGTGACTGAGGAGCTGTGTGCATGGCTCTACCAAATGGACAAATCAACAGATTAAATCTTCCCCAAAATCGGATAGACTGTGACATATAGTTGTAATATTAATTATTTCTTTCGATTACATAAGTCATGCCTGTTTATTATGGGAAATACAGAAAAGTATAAAGAAAACAAAAATGATCTAGAATCCTACCACTACCCAGAAATAATCATTAATAACATTTTTTATTATCGTTTCAGTCTTTTTTAAAATGTATGTTTTGAGAGGGTGCCTGACTGGCTCAGTCAGTACAGCATGCCACTCCTGATCTTGGGGTCATGAGGTCAAGCCCCACACTGGGCATAGAGCTCACTTTTAAAAAAAAGAAAGAAAAGAAGAAAAATAAGTAAAACTTGTGTGTGTATATTTATATATACACATATATATGTAAACATGTATATATATATGTTTACAAAATCAGTATCACAGTATACATAGTTTGGTTATTTGCTTTTTATTTATCAATCTCATTAACATCTTCTGATAGGATTTTAAACTATTCTTGTATAGCCTGACTTGAAATGGCTGCATAATATTAGATGCTACAAATTTACCTTTATTTAATCATTTGAACCATCTCTAGATTGTTGCTGTTACAGATAATGCCGGGAATATATTCTTGTAGCTAAATATTTTTGCACATTTCTATGTATTTCCTTTGGATTATATTCCCCAAAATGGCATATTTTGGTGAGCAGGTATGCAGAGTAATCTATAAATTTCAAGGTACTTCCAAATTGACCTCTAGAAAATTCCTACCAACTTACATTCCCACAAGGATCCTGTGAGAGGTCATCAAGGGCCATCTGTATTTTGAGAGGTGGCTTGGCTTCATTGTTAGGGGTGTGGGCTTTAGCATTTGACATATTTGGAGTCTTGACAAAAGCTGACTTGAGGTTTTTAATCTTCCAACACCAGAGGCCTCTCCTGTGTTCCTACACCTCTCAGGGTTGCTGTAAGAATTAAGCGAGATAAGTGTGTGTAGTGGTTATCTTAATTCCTAGCATGTAACAGCATTCAATAAATGATGGTTTATTAGTATTATTATAAGAAATTGAAATTGAGGGTGCCTGGGTAGCTCAGTCAGTTCAGCATCTGACTCTTGCTTTCAGCTTAGGTCATGATCTCAGGCTAGTGAGATTGAGCCCCGCTTTGGGCTCCGTGCTTAGCAGGGGAATCTGCTTGAGATTCTCCCTCTCCCTTTGCCCCTCACCCTCACCCCACCCCTTGTTTGCTTGCTCTCTCTCTCTCAAAAAAAAAAAAAAGTGTAATCTGCTTTCTTATCTATTATGCTTGCCTAGGTTTGGAGCAGGGGTCCTGGAAGTTTCGAGAGCTAGGAGCATGAACGTTTAAGAGAGACAGAAAAAGGGAGAGATCAAGTCGATCAAGTTACAGAGTACCAGGCCCCATAATATTGGAAGTCTAGTTTGCATTTAGTGACAGCTATGTGGTGGTAGCACCAGTGAAGTTAACCCACAGCATGTAAGACACTTTCCCCCCCAGTAAATCAGCTCCTCCTGACTGGGATCCCAGCAATGGCAAATAGATGGGGCAATAAATAAATCCTACCAGGAGAAGCACTGAAGACTCCTTGAGAGACCAACCAGGGCTGGGCATGCCTCTCACCTCCATCAAGTGTTTGGGCCAAGACTTCTAGGCAGGAATATCTGCAATGGGTGGGTTGTTCAGTTTAAGGTCCTTTAGGTGGATTCTGAATCTGTAGTTAATAAAAGACATATTTATAGTACCATAACATGTTGTATTTACATAAAATGTCAGCATCTTGCAAGAGAAGCACACTGCTGAAGACCAGGAATAATTACTAAGGCCATTTTGATTTGCATGGGAACACTCAAGTTCTTTTTTTTTTTTTTAATTTATCATAACCCAAATAGCCTCTGAATTTGGAAGATGGGACAAGGAAGATAGGTTTCTTTTGTATTATCAAAAAGAATTTATTTTTTAGGAACTTAAAAATTTGATTATACCATACCACTGCATTTTTTAAAAATGGTTTCAAAGACTTAAATAGTACTTTTTATTTGCTTTTTAGCTACTTATTCCTGGCAAGAGTGTTGTGAGATGACTATCTGGTGCTCTTTTGTGTATAGAGAATTTAGTTCCATGTGGTAGCCAGCTTGCTCAGGGTCAGGATTCTGCACCAGCATGCACAGCCACACACACTGACTAATCTGCCTCCCCGAAGAGGAAGAACCAAGAAGGAACTCCTGCCAATCTCAGCATGATTGATATTTGGTTTCCTGATGCCACTTCTGCCTAGAAGCAGATTGTATGCCTCACAGAAGCGTGCTTGTGTAATTAGCAATACTACTGTGCATTTAAAGAGCCTAGTCCCTCTGAAGACCCAAAATAACTTCATAACTAGCTTATTCTTTTTTTCAATTCTTCTTTTAAATGGTATTTATTTCGTAAGTATCATATCACAGTAATTAGTTCAGTAGCTAATTAAAAAAATTATAAAATGTTTTTTAAAAGATACAATTGTCAGTATAAACAGATTGTCACCTATTCTCAACCCAACTGAATCATCTCTAATCTCAGTACTGACTCAAGGCCAAAACAGCCATTTAGCTATCAATATCAGCATGTGTACATGTGTGCAGTTCTGTGTTTATATGTACTTACTCCTTGCTTGGCTAAATCTCCTAGAAAGTTTCCACTATTTCTCCGTAAGTTCTAATTATAGGGCATGCATCCAGCAGGTACTCAATAACTGCACATTGACAGAGACATGATAATAGTAATGCAAGATGTAAGATACTGCACTAAATGTTGTCCTTTTTTTGGTCCCAGGCCCTCTCCCACCACCCCCTCCAATAAGCAGAAATGGCAGCACATCTCGGGCCCTGCCTGCCACCCCCCAGTTGCCGTCCAGGAGTGGAGTAGATAATCCCAGGAGTGGACCCAGGCCTCCTCTTCCTCCTGACAGGCCTGGTGTTGGAGCACCTCCCCCTCCTCCACCATCAACATCAATTAGAAATGGCTTCCAAGACTCTTCAGGTGAAGGTGAGGTGGGGTCCCTCCTCTGGGGGAGGGACCTTGGAAACATTTACAGGCTACAGGGCAACCACTGAATGGTAAATTTGTGTGCGTTGTTTGTGTGTTTGCATTAATATTTCTTGTTTCAATGAACCTCATTGTTATCACACTGCTCTGCTCTGATCTAAGTATCTAACCATTAGAGACCACCATGATTTCAAATTAAAAGTAGTAGTCCTCCCTCCTCCCCTTCCCAAAAAGGCTGATCGTTTTCCTCTCTCTCTGTTGGAGTCTCATTTTGGTTAACTTTCTAGAAGATCCCAGAACTCTAAAAAAAATGCCATTTTTGTCATTTATCCTCTTATTACCTACCTTACCTGCCTCTCTTAACAGTTTGCTGGGGCAAGAGGCCCGACAGTCTGCAGGTATTAAGCGGCTTTCCTCTGCCTTTGTTATGAGAGGGTCACAGTTATTCCTGGGCCCACCGGTGGGAAGAAAGGGATCTCAAACTTTAGCCCCCAGCTCCTGGGAGGGACTAGCTGCGTCCTAATCACGCTAGTGAAAGTCACTTGGATCTGTCTTTGCTTTGATTTGCAGACCAGCGTATTTCATTGATGCGCCGATCAGTGACATTTGTTGCATTTCTGGGTTTTCTCTAAACTTCTAGGCATAAAACTAGAAGTGATCTCTGCAGCTCTCTGTCCTTTCACTATGTAAATCTTCGTAGCAGATGTTACCGAAGATGCTGTTTGTTTCTCTCCCTCAGATGAATGGGAAAGCAGATTCTACTTCCATCCAATTTCTGATTTGCCACCTCCAGAGCCATATGTACCAACGGCCAAAAGTTATCCCAGTAAAGTGGCGAGAAGTGAAACCCGGAGTGAGTATTTCTGCAAGGGCTTTGGGTGGCTTCATGCTTGAAACTGAGGGCTGCCTGGAGCGGGGCAGAGAACCCCATATGGAGCCATCTAAATTCTGGTAAACTCCCCTTCCACAGGTGATGGGGAAAATGGAGATATCCAGAATGCATATGAGAAACGATTATTTTAATGTGTCATTACAAGCTCAACATAACTTTGGTTTGCTAATTGGTTAAATTGTATTGCTTTGCTTGTTTGGACAGCCTTCCGCATTTTGGTCTTCCTGAGATAGAACAAATATCTTCTATTCCTACTAGTTTTGAGACTAATCAAATTGTCTTAATAATTATAACAAAAACTCACTGTAACTGCCTTGATATTTTAGATATATTTTGATTAGGGGCACCTGGCTGGGTCAGTCAGTGGAGCATGCGACTCTGGATCTCGCCCCATGTAGAGTGTAGACATTACTTAAAAAAATAAAATATTAAAATAATAATAAAGTAATAAAATAAATATATTATGATTATAGCTTTTAGAGCATTATGTGAAAATTTTAAATATACCCATAATCTGTCCATAAAATCTCCACATAACATACATATATTTTCATTTTACCAGGTTCTCTGCTCTTTTTTAATCCATATTATTCTGATTTATCATTATAAGTATAGAGCGCAGTTTCTTGGTGGTGGGGTTTACATAACTTTGCTTAGTAAAATACTTTCCCATTTTATCACATGGTTTTTATTTTATAGCATCCCATCAAGTCGACATACAACAATTTAGTTTACCATTATTGGACATTTAGATTGTTTCTGGGTTTTGCTAAAATATATAATGCAACCATAAAGAGGTGAATCTATTCTATTGAAACAAAAATGTGAACAAGAAGAGGAAATAGAGAAACTGTAATTTCACGACAATAAGTGGTTAGAACAAAGAATCGGCATGAAACATACATAGATCAGTGATGAGGCTCAGGCTTGTAACCGCTTTAGATGTAGAACCAAACTCCCAAACAGAAATGTGTGGAGAAAAAATGTTTGAGCATTTCAGGTAACTGCCACAGCATCCCTAGCCTTGTCCTCACTCCTTAGGCAGAGCTTCTTACACATACGCAGAGCCTGCTGACCCTTTAGCACACAGTTCTTAAATCTTTATTGGTTGGATGTTTCCCAGCCATAGAACAGATTCATAGCTGCTTAAGTTAAGGTTGTTAGAAGCAAAATCAGTGGCTTCAGGGAGACGTGATAGGTGGTAGTCTTAGGTCAAAGAGACAGGGACAGGATTGTGCTTTGTATCACAGCACAGGACAACACAGGAGTTTCTGTTGGGTTGTGAAGAACAGGTCAAATTGTGCTCTGTGCCACTGCTGAAGAATTCCAAGCATTAGAAGATGCTTTAAGAAAATGTCCATGAACAAATGCCAGAAGTAAACAGAATACTGCTGCTTGAAAGGAAAAGTCTAATTACTAGAAAAACTCATTTATGTAGAATACTCCATTCCTAGATGATGCCTAATTTAAAAAAGGTATAACTATAATAAAACTATACAGGAGTGAAAAATAAGTCTTCATATGGGACAGATGTCTTTGAGAGGGGTGTGTGTGTGTGTGTGTGTGTGTGTGTGTGATGAAGAGAGGCTTCTATCTCATAAGAGCCTGTTTCTCTTTTGGGGCATTAACAAATGAATTCACTTTAAGGAGTTGTTCGTATAGACTCTAAATATTTTTCCTGGTTTCTTGTAAGCATTCTTAATCTCACTGAAGTGCTCTTTGTATATTTAAGTCAGTAGAACCATCCCCCCTCCTCTAAATTCTTAATTTCATAGCTGAACACATTCCCTTCCCCACCCTGCTGTCTCTAAGACTAGAGGTGACTTGAGGACTGGAACTGTCCGGCTCACTACTGCATCTTCCTCACGTGGCCTCAAACTGAAATGTAGTAGGCATTTAAAAATATTTCTTAAACTGATGAATTAATGTCCACTGCGCCCAAAAATGTTTTTGTAGATTTGCTTTAAATATTTCTAGCGTTCTGTGTGCTTAATGGATCATCTCTGGATCATCTCTGTAACAAAACTAAAGTACTGTCGTGTGGTTTTGCTCTGCTCCCACAGCTGCCTTGGCCTCTAGGTGGGGCACCAGCCTGGCAGGGCCTCCAGGCAGCCCTGAGCTGTGCCATCTAACTGCAGCTCTACAGGCCAGCCCACATGGTGACAACTGCTGACAGTATGTCAGCGGATGGTCAAGGCTCCACAGCAGATGACTGGTTTCCAGCCAGATGTGTCTTTCCTCAGGTGTGGGCCCAAGAAAAGGCATGGTTGGGGTGGCAAAAGGAAGAGGCAAGGTAACGGGCTGCCAGTGTCTTCCTCTAACTCCTCCCCTGCTAGATCTGCTCACAGCGTCTGAGCACCCGGCTCTATGCCTAAAACCTGTTGGATCCTCAAAAAATGTACGTGGGACAAATGAATTTAAAAAACTGTGAATGGATTTTAAACCCAGTACTCATACCCATGAATATGCATAGTTTTTAAAAGAACACTATCAACAGAGTGAAGAGGCAACCCACAAAATGGGATAAAATATTTGCAAATCATATATCTGATCAAAAAGTAAAATCCAGAATATATAAAGAATTCCTATGATTCAACAACAAAAACCCAATTTTTAAAATGGGTCGAATACTTGCGTAGACATTTCTCTGAGGAAAATATCCCTATTGCCAAAAAGCACATGAAAAGGTGCTCGATATCACTAATCATTAAGGGAATACACATAGCACTACAGTGAAATACAACTTCACAGCCATTAGGATGGTTACTATCAAAAAAAGCATTGTTTAGACATCAGAAGATACTTAAATGTCCAACAAAAGGGAATTGATTAGATAAATATAGTATACCTATATAACAGAATGTAATGTGTCCTTTATAATTATATGTATAAATAGTAATGGCTCTGAAAAATGTTCAGACCGGCTATATATGATCCTATTTGGGGAAGAAAAAAGGGAGCTGTTTATATCTAGAAAATAAAAGGAAAGTGTTTACATCATGTTATTGGTTATCTCTGGGTGGGTTTTTGTTTTGTTTTAGCTCATCCGTATTTTCTAAATGTATAATAAACATGTACTATGTGGTAAGAAGAAAAGTAATTTTTTTTTTTAATTTTCTTAACTTTGTGCAAGTACGCAGGAGCCAATGGTGGGTCATCCCTCTCTGGAAATGTTCAGTCAGATCCTTACTTGCTTCCCTTCACTTCTTACTTACCCTGTTCTTTACAGCCTTGGTCATAGAGGGTGACGTGGTGGGTACTTTTGCGACCATCCTTTAGTTTGTACAGCGAGATCATAAGCTTTCTAACCAAAATTTATATTTTGTCTATTTTTTCATCAAGGTGGATCCAGCAGAAGAGAAAGGGGTGCCCCACCACTGCCTCCCATCCCAAGGTGATCTTTGCCTGCTCTTCTCCACCCGAGCCCAAGAGCTCCTTCTGTTGTTGCTCACCCTCCTCCCCTTGTCTCCCCTCGTCCCCTTCATACTGGCAGTAGGGAGGAAGGGAGGGTGACGTGGGAATATGTGTGTGTTGGGGGTGGGGGTGGGAATGCAGTGAAGAAATGCACCTAGCTTTTTATATTGTGTATATTCTCAAAGCTCTTGCTTGCTTCAGCTACAGCCCGCCAGTGTTGGCTGCTTAGGGGTCAGGAGGCTTTTGTGGCAAGGTGGCAGAAATGCATTGTGTCCTAGCTTTCAACCAACCAAGTTCAAACATTCACAGCTAATTTGCTACAGACTGTAATATTAAAGTCCCTGAGAGCTATTTGCTTCCATGCCTTTTTTGCGTGCTTGGCTTTCTGTCCGATTCCAGGAACCACCTAAGCAAGTTGCTGTATTCAGGGCTCACATAAAATTTTTCAATTACAGGATGTCCAATCTTTGGCAGTCTGAGATAAGTTCTAGGATAGAGCTGTCCAACAGAAATACAATGTGAGCCACATATACAGTTTTTTAATTTCTAGTAGCTATGTTAAAAAAGGAAAATAGGTGAAATTAATTTTAATATATTTTATTTAACCCTAACACCCAAATTATTATCATTTCAACCTGTAATCAGTATAACAATTATTAATGAGCTATTTCACATTCTGTTTTGGTACTAAGTCTTCAAAATCCAGTGTGTATCCTACATTTGAGAGCACATCCCCATTCAGACTAGTCACATCTCAAGTGCTCGACAGCCCCGTGTGGCCGGTGGCTACTGTTTTGGACAGCACGGGTCTAGAAGCTGCAGGCTAGTGCAAAAACCTCTTGTTTCAAAAACGAAAAAGGCAAGTTGAGCTTGAGCAATTCAAAAAGTAACTAAAAATAAAGTTAGGACCTAACACCTTGTTCGGCAGACAGCTTGACCTTCGATTTTGCTCCCTTATTTCCCATCTTTCCTTAATGTATGTATCCAAGTGTTGCTTCACAATACCAAGGTCAGAAATTGATCTAACAGGGTTTACAGTCACGTGGAATAAAGCCATTAGAAAGAAACTGAAAGCCAGCTGGGGCCTAGGGACTCAGAGCCAGCTGCCTTGAGTTCACCTGTCCATTGGACCCCTGCCTTACACTTCATTCCTCTGCCGCCCAGCACGCATCTCCATGCCAGGGAGGCTCATAGGCTCTGTAGCTGTGGGGGAAAGTCAAGAAAAGGTAGCCAGTTGGAAACGTGGAGGAAGGAAGCAGGTTTGAGTTGATGGGCAAACTGTGAAAGTCTAAATCTGATGTGTATGGGGTTGAGAGAGATTGCTACTACAAATTGAAGAGAATTTGTCTTGCCTCTATCCGGGTGAATCACTTGCCTTGGACCTACGCAAATAAAGTTCCATGAAAGGACCATAGGGGTGAGCCAGGCTTTGCCCTTTTTTTTGTATTATTTTGTTTACAAAACTTTACTGGGACTTTTAAATCTAGCTATAGATTTGGGGAAAAAAATATTTCCATTTAGATGTTTTATATGGTTGATTATGTTTAAAATTACCGTTACTTATTTTTTAAAAGCACACAACCACATATGTATATGTACACCTAAACTTTGTATCATGGTTTCAGTGTATTGTTCATGTATTACTGGGAGATGCTAACAAGAAATCAATCCAAAGAAAAATCTGAAAGAAGCATTCCTATTTATAGAATAAATGTTTCATTTATATAAAAGCAAAAGAACTTAGAGTCCTAATAAATGGGATATCTAATAAATTATGAAGTTGTCCATTTGAACATATTGTATTTTTATAACTTGCCTTGCCAAAGCCCTGGGCTTGGTATGATAGAGAACTTGGTTTTTCCCCCCTCTCCTCTACCATTCATCTGTCTTTCATATAGTCATTTGGGGCCCTTCGCCCAAAGGGACTCAAGAAATATAAAAGTGTAACAAACTTGGCTAAGTATTTCCAAAAAGAATTTTTCAGGTAGTATAGCAGCATCATTTTATTTGGGATTCTTTGATCGGATATGAACAGTTGATACAAATCCCTATGATAAAGCCTAATGAGCCACTTCAGAAAAAGTAGAAATCTGGCCTTACTAGCAAATATGGCAGAGAAGTCTGATCCAAAGAATTTTGGGTCTGAATTTTGTGAGGGCTAGTAATCATGGCCAGTTTCCTTGTATATCCCAACTTTGTAGGTACCATCCTAAGTTCTGAAACAGAGTCACAGCTCAAAGTTGCTGTTCATCTAGGAGAGAGAAGTTTTAGAATGTATTTAAGTCAATGTTTCATTAATACACCTATACCCTTTCTTTGAAAGTTAGCAACCTAATTGCATCCAAAACTGGATAATTTCTATGCTAAAATCTTCAACTATGGCAAATCACAAAAATGAATATTTTCTTCCTGAAATCAGGGCTTACATTTGGGGTTTTTTTCCATAATATTTCCAGATAAATGTATTCAAGATGCAATACAGTATTTTAACATTCATATATCATTTTATATTGAAATGTATTACAGTATTAAAATTGTGTTCAGTATTTATTTCACTATGCATTTTATTTAGTAGAAGCCGAGAGAAATGTTTAATCCAATGGTGCCTTACTTTGTGATTTGAAAGAAATCGACTTTTTATGTCTAAGTAGCAGATTATTTGCATATTTGTAAAAACTGTTAGGCCTTTATATTTTAACTTGTAATACCAATTTTGTTATTTTAGTAGCAGAAATGGGATGATTGTTAAAGCACCCAACATTTTTTGGCATGAAATTAATTTTTCCCTGTTTGTAGTCAGGGACAGTAAAGGAAAACAAATGTTTTTCATACCACTGCACTATGTAAACATGCACATTTTGGAATCTATGTCAACAGGACAGTTTAAATGGTGGGGTAGAGACTACCCTAGACATCTGTGTCTTTGTGAGTTAGCCAATGAATAAAAGCAGAATGATAAGAGTGTCAACTGGTGGTTTTTATTTAAGTATTGTCTATATAAATGCAAATGAAAAGGCAAGTGTCTGTTTTCTGTGTTGTACTCTGATAAAGAAAGACAAGCCCAGAGCAAAGAAAAACAGGAGGGGGAGGTAGCATCAGTCCGTACCGCAGGTTCCTCACACCCATTTTCTAATCCCTTGTTTTTCCTGAGAACTTGCATCCT